GGTTGTAATAGTAACTATGACCATTTTATTTTGATTAGACTAGCTATATTCGTATTTATGAATGAACCACTATTTATGTTATTATATTTTAAATGGTTTTAAAATTCAATAGTATTTAGGCAATACTATATAATTTATGAGACATCACTAAACTGCCTAATTACTATCTGAAAATGGATTTGTTTTCGATGTTTTAATATTATTTATGACTTAATTGATTAAGAAAACAATTTTATAAATTTAAATAGGAATGTTTTAAAACGAAACAAAATTTTAAGTATTTATGTTCAGTGAATGTCTGTCAAGTTATTGTAATATCTTTAGCTCATATTTCGAGATGTATACGAGCTATGGGTATTACAATTCTATTTTAAAAGAAATAAATAAATCGTTAAATTTATTTCTTTAAATCTCGATATGTTTGTGAAGTGAGATCTTGAAAGTAAATTTATTCTGGAAATTGAATTTTTGTCGTAATAATGGGTTTACCTTATTTACTTTTACAAACAAGAAAGGATAAATATTTTATTACCTTCATTGGTGATAGAAAAAATTATTGTTATATATTTGCTAAAAAACAAAGGTGAAGCTATAGAGAAATATATTCTTTATAAATTCAAAGTTGAAAACCAACTTAATAAAATCATTAAGATGGTAAGAAGTGATAATGGTGGTGAATAAATTAAACCATTAATTGGTCAATACTATGCACAACATGATATTATTCATAAAGTGACACCATCATGGGGTAGCAAAGCGAAAGAATTAATTCTTAAAAAGGAAATGATGAACGCAATGCTAAGAAGTTATGGGTTATCACAGAACATGTGGGGAAGCTATTTTTCAGCTAATTACTTTTTAAATAAGGTTCTTCAAAAATTGATAGACACCATATGAGTTATGGAAATGTAGAAAATATTTCTACAATTACTTAAAAATGTGGGGTGTCTTGTAAATATAATGATCTCATTATCAAAGGAAACGGAATCCCAAATCGATGGATTATATTAGCTATGTAGATTATAGCAAGACATATTGACATCTTGTGTATGAATCAAAGAATCCCGAGATTCACAAGAACATAATAACGAAATCAAAGAATATCTCATTCTTTGAAAATATATTCCCATATATAACTAAGGAAAATGATTGAAGATTATCAATAAAGATAAGTCAAGATGTTCAACGAAAGGTTGAAACAAAGATATTACCATTATGACACACCTTTGAAAAGCAATTATGAGAGAACTAAGATATCTCAGATATGCTCAAGAGATGAATTGTATTATCCCAAGATAATGCTTCCTCAGAAGGATACTCTGATGCCAGTTGAATATCTGATATTCAAGATACCAAAGGCAAAGTGAATATATTTCACATTGGGAAGAGGACTCATGTCATAGAAATCCTCAAGAAAACGTCATAATCAATTTAAAATGGAATAAGCGTTTGTAGCTCTAGAAAAGTCTAGAGAATAAGTTGAATGACTTTTGAATTTCTTGGAGGATATTCTTGAATGACCAAAGTTTATGCCCACAATATTCATATATTGGTAAAGCATAGAACTTTATGTATAATGGTAAGTTGACATATATACATCATCAACACAATACCATTAGACAACTGATCTCAAAATAGAGTTATCACTGTTTACTTTGTAAGATCAAATGATAACATCACAGATTCACTAACTGAAGGGTTAATATTGAGATCAAGTTGAGTAAACATCTAAATGAATGAGAATGAAGCCCATGAAAGGCTTTATGTGAACGAAAACCCTACCTTATTGATAGGAGATCCTTAGATTAGGTTCAAAGGGACAATCTAATTACATAAACCGTGTGCGGTCACTGTAGGGATTTTTATCCCAAGTCGTTCCTATCACGTAAACAATGATCAAATTGGTATAAGCTAAGCAAATCTTTTAATTACCATTGTGTGCTTCGAAGAGTCAAGCAACATAAGTCACCTATAAGTGAAGCAGAGTTGCTTCAAGGAGAATATTGAGCATATTTCTTTCAAACTATTGCAGAATCAGGCGATGTCCATGGCTTTAGGGACATACCCATGAGAACTAAAATCCTTGTCAGATGGTAGTTGTGTGAAGTATATCATCGTTTACACAAATGGCAGAACAGTTTAAGAACATCACTTCTATGGTCAACTAGTAAAGTAAATATGTTGTCACAAGGAAAGGTTCAAAGAATGACACATACCTATCCTATGCAATTACCGATCGTAGAGTCTATCACCACATAGAGTCAAAATGATTTTGATAAATGATCAATTTCATTAATGTGGGGAATTGTTGGAAAAATTCGATAATTTTGGAGCTTTGAATGAGAAATTGATATAAACGTTGTTGAGGAAAATGTGAAACCAATTGTTGGTTCGTACATGTGCAGACGTGCACAATGTGAGTAAAGTTAATGTCTGAACCGGTCAAACTTTTTGTGGGCTTGTAGGTCTTTTAACCCAAATGTGAGATAATTTCCTCAAATTGAGAATGTCTTTTCAAAATTTGTTTTTGAATTAAAAGGATAAATATTAAAAGGTTCCTCTAATCAAAACAATAATTTTGGAAATTACTTAAATGCTTGATTCTCATTAATGCTTCATCAGGTCAAAAATTTCCAGTTGTTCACAATATGAAATCTATAAATATTGTGTTATCATACTAGGTTAAATATAATTAAAAAAAAACTCAAAAACCAATTCAAAGGTATTATTTTCTCTAATTTTTGGTGATAGGCGAAGACAATAAATAGTTTGTGATCTAGGCAGTTGTGCTACTGTACGCTTTGTTGATGTATCCTGGGAGACAGACAACCAAAGATCTCGAGCACCAAGGAGTGGTCGAAAATCTATCTTAAGGAAACAGCGTAATTGCAGGCCTCAACTTATTTCTATTCATATATTTATTATTTTATATTTAGATTATTTAATCGAATATTTTCCATGTTATTAATTGTGTTTATTTTATTCTTGATTCATGTACACGAGTTTTACAACAAGATCATGCTGAGGAATTTAATGTCGTTTGACACAACTTGTATGAATCACCATATAAGTAAAATTGGATCTATAAAATATTTGAATTTTATTTTCCTTTCGTGTTAGATTGTTATACCTCTAACGATTATTTCACCCTTACATTTTCTCACTTCATAAGATGGTGACACATGCCATCATTATTGGAGGAAATATAAGTTAGATTAAATAAATAAATAATTATGAAAATATCCTCTAATCAGGTAATGACATGTGTCACCATCTAATTGGAGATTAAATTTTATTTTAATTAAATTAAATGATTACTAAATTAATAGAATTATAAATATTGAAGATCGAATATGTAATTATATCCATTTTTTAACTGTCACGTCACTTCCTCAGTTAAAAGTTAACGGAGAGTGGCCTGATTGAAACATTTAAATAGTTTGGTGGTCTTACAACAACAACAACAAAACCTTATTCTCATATACAATGGGTAAGGGGAGGTAGGGTAGTAGGTTGCCCCCAACGCCAGGTTGAGAGCAGCTTCCGTGGAAGACCTCTGACAGCCAAAAAATTAAAAATATAATAAAATGCAATGCATGTATAAATAAAATAAATACATAGTAGACAGAAACGTAAGACCCGGCTAAATTTAAAAGATGACACATGAAGAGAAATATACACAGAAGTCAACGATAGCCAACTACGAAAATGAATAAAGCCAAATGGGTTAAAACCTAAACTAAGGAAACCCTACTCCGCTACCCTAGTTCTAAGCCTTCATAAATTCCAATGACATAAACGTATAAAAAGTAGGAGTCATGAAAATTACTACAAAGGCATTAAAAGAAGACAGAGATGATACACCCTATGGATGTGACTCGCACTACTTGGCTACCCTGGTCTTAAGTCTCCATACTTTCCTATCAGAGGTCATGTCCTCGATAAGTGGTCTTATTGATTATATCAAAACATTGGTGGTCAAAATGAAATCTAACAATAATTAGGTGATCACCAGTGTAGTTTACCCTGAATTTTATTCAATTTCAAACTTACTCGAATCCAAAACTATGAAAACATCTGAATTCTCAAAATAATTAAACATCTAACTTTAAAATAACATGAACTAACAAGAATTTAAAATTATCGTAAAAGTTATTAATATTGTGAATTTCAATGGAGGATCAAATTGAATAAAAACAGTAGAAAGTAAAATCAATCTCTCTCTCAAATTTTGCCCGCCAGAACAACTGTCCGGATTGTAGAGAGTCGAGTCTGCTTGACGAATCTGGTGCATGTATGGGTTGAGGTGAGGTTGCATGGGTTTGGTCCTACTTTTTTGGCTTACACTATCCATTTTTTGATAAGTTCACACGGTAATGTTTATAATTTATTTTCTAGGTAAACTATGCATATAATATTTAAATTATTAATTTTGATTTTTTTAGTATTAAATTTTTAATTTTTTTAAAATATTTAAAGTTTAGTTTTTATTTTATTTTAATATTTACTGTTAAAAATTTAAAGCATTTAATACTTAAACTACTAGTTTTGATTCGTTTTAGTACTTAATTTTTTTTTTCAAAACTTAACATTAAATTATGAACTAGTATTAACAACAACAACAAAACTATTTTAAAATTTATATTTTATTAATCGTTAAAATACACGGATTTTATTTTGATTTTCAATTCAGTCATTTTTTAAATCCTAACAAAAGTTCATTATAATGACGGTCTACTCTACTCTGTAACATTAAGATCGAACTTAGATATTGTTTAGGTATCTATGCTTTATTCCATTAAATTAATTGGCGATTAATGTAAAATTTAAGAATTATAATTAAAAGCAAACAGTAAAAACGAAGAAGTAAGAAATCACTACAAAATACAAATCACAGTTGTTTTTAAGACAAGATTAATAATTTTCGTTTTCATGTCATTTCCATTACAGTATGATGAATATTACCGCGTTGGAAAGAAAAAAAAAACAACTCTTCTTCCTTACGATCATAAATAATCAATCTCTCTCTTTCTTTATCAATAGCCAGTAACCACATCCCATCAACCATTTTCTCGATCCACACTCTCTTCCCAATTCTTCATTAAAGTCTTCCTTTCCGTCTCCTTTATCTAATTCACCTTTCACCCTTTCATACTTCACTTCTTCACCAAAAAGAAAAAAAAAGAAAATTACATATTTTGTTTTAATTTCTTGCTGTTTGTTTCAGTGCTTGATTCTTAGCTGAAGAGTTCTTTTTTCTGATTTTCTGTTATCTTCTGTATTTATATATATAATTTTGTTTTGTTGGGACTTTTTTATAATCATTGTCAATCATCAAAGGATAGTTCTTGATTGGTTTTTTGGATCTAAAATCCATTATTTTTTGGATGGGTTTATTGTTGTAAAACTGTGGAAATAAGTGAAATCCAGAGTTTGAGCCTTTTGAGTATTGCTTTAACGTAGGAAAAGGCAACCTTGGTAACTTTGGTTTTCAGCTATGAAAAGTTCTGTTTTTTAAGTTTAAAATGTGGGATTTTGGCCCCAAAAGGGTTTCTTTTTTATTGATCAATAAATGATAGTTCTTTAATTATTGTTTTAAAACAAAGGGTGGTTTCAAAAAGATGGGATCTGAGAATGAGTTTTTTTCAACTGGAGAGTTCAATTTAGATGCTAAATGGTTGATTGATCCTCAGCAGCTTTTTGTTGGTCCTAAAATTGGTGAAGGAGCTCATGCTAAAGTATATGAAGGAAAGTAAGTAATCTTTTCCTTTGAAATTCTAATTTAATTCAATTTATTATTTCCTCTTTTTTGGGTCTTTTAAATGAATCCTACCCATTTAAAACTATTTTGGTATAAATTTTATTTATAATTTGAGTAGCTATGATAATAATTTATAAAAAAATGGTGGAGAAATTTGATCATTAATGCCTGTTATTACATGACAGTTTACTTATGTTTTTTTTTACTCCATTTGATATTTTTAAGGTACAAGAATCAAAATGTTGCTATTAAAGTGGTTAGAAGAGGGGACACCCCTGAAGAAATTGCAAGGAGAGAAGGAAGGTTTGCAAGGGAAGTTGAAATGTTATCCAGAGTTCAACACAAAAATCTTGTCAAGGTTTGTTGATCATTATATATGCCATTGATTCTTGTTGCTGAATTTATGTTCTTTTCGATGGATATCCGTGAATCTGCAGGGTTTCAGGATATATTAAGTATAAATAGGCTTGTGAAGGTTTTTAGAATCATTATATATGCCATTGATTCTTGTTGCTGAATTTTATGTTCTTCCGGGTTATAGTCAATGTATTGTCGATAAATATCCGTGAAATCCGGAGGTTTTAGGTTTATTCAGAGGAAGTTGTGCCTTAGCAGAGCTTGCGAATGTTTTTCATTTTTGAATCATTATATATGCCATTGATTCTTGTTGCTGAATTTATGTTCTTTTCGATGGATATCCGTGAATCTGCAGGGTTTCAGGATATATTAAGTATAAATAGGCTTGTGAAGGTTTTTAGAATCATTATATGCCATTGATTCTTGTTGCTGAATTTTATGTTCTTCCGGGTTATAGTCAATGTATTGTCGATAAATATCCGTGAAATCCGGAGGTTTTAGGTTTATTCAGAGGAAGTTGTGCCTTAGCAGAGCTTGCGAATGTTTTTCTTTTTTGAATCATTATATATGCCATTGATTCTTGTTGCTGAATTTTATGTTCTTCCGGGTTATAGTCAATGTATTGTCGATGAATATCCATGAAATCCGGAGGTTTTAGGTTTATTCAGAGGAAGTTGTGCCTTAGCAGAGCTTGCGAATGTTTTTCTTTTTTGAATCATTATATATGCCATTGATTCTTGTTGCTGAATTTTATGTTCTTCCGGGTTATAGTCAATGTATTGTCGATGAATATCCGTGAAATCCGGAGGTTTTAGGTTTATTCAGAGGAAGTTGTGCCTTAGCAGAGCTTGTGAATGTTTTTCTTTTCTGAACCATTATATATGCCATTGATTCCTTTTGCTGAATTTTATGTTCTTTTGGGTTTAGCAGATATAATGTCGACGAATACCGGCAAATCCAGAAATTTTAGGTTTTAATAAGCGGAAATAGGCTCATATCTTAGCTGAGCTTTTGTTTATTTTCCAGTTCATTGGAGCTTGCCAGGAGCCCTTTATGGTGATTGTAACTGAGCTCCTACTAGGTGGTACACTGCGGAAATACCTTCTGAACATGCGACCAAAGTGCTTGGACATGCACGTAGCGATTGGATTTGCGCTTGATATTGCCCGTGCAATGGAATGCATTCATTCACATGGGATCATTCACCGGGACCTGAAACCTGGTATGATCATAACATTTATCTAGGCATGCTTTAATGCTCAATGAATTGCATTGTCTAGTTCCATACCTTATAACTGGTCTTGTATTAACTGTGACTAACCGAGAAGAACCAATTTTATAAGGATTTCTTTTTTTTTTAAACTGACTGTGAACCACTACATCATGCTTTATTGTCTGTGCTAGACGGATCGAATACTTATTTAAGATTCCAACGACTAATTTAGGTGGACAGAAATGAAAGCAATAACAATCTTTATGCCAACTTCATACGATATTGCGGTATCACCTTTTATAGGTTTGCATGGTCTTGATAAATGATTTCCTATTGCAGAGAACCTGATCTTGACTGAAGACCTTAAAACGGTTAAACTCGCGGATTTTGGTTTAGCTCGGGAAGAGTCATTAACTGAAATGATGACTGCTGAAACCGGGACATATCGTTGGATGGCTCCAGAGGTAATATGTTGAATTCTTCAGAACTTAAAATCATATCTTTTTCTCCATATAAATGTTGGGTTTTCTTTTTTGTTTAAGACTCTGACCCCTTTGCATATTCTAACAGCTTTATAGCACGGTGACGTTAAGGCAGGGAGAGAAAAAACATTACAACAATAAGGTGGATGCCTACAGCTTCGCTATCGTGTTGTGGGAACTCATACATAACAAGTTGCCGTTTGAGGGCATGTCGAATTTACAAGCAGCGTATGCAGCCGCTTTTAAGGTAATAAATGATGTGTAGTCATGTTTTGTAGTGATAGTCTCGAATACGAAATTGTCGGACAACCTTTGAAAATCTTTGCCTGACGCCATAAGATTTCCGGATGAGAAATGATTGATGACTTCTGTTTCACATTCGATCAGTCGAATTTAGTAAGTCTAACTGAATTAAGGCATGTGTTTCTTCAAATGCAAGTAGGGAATTCTGATATAGGCATGTTGGTTGAGTTTTAACCATGTTGTTTCAGAACGTTCGGCCTAGTGCCGAGGACCTTCCGGGAGATTTGGCTGCCATTGTGACTTCTTGTTGGCAAGAGGATCCGAATGCTCGACCGAATTTCACCAAGATTATACAGATGCTATTACACTATCTCTCGACGATTTCACCACCCGAGCCGTCGATGATGCCCCCAAAAAGAACAACTTCGGAGAATGTTGTATTCCCGCCGGAGTCTCCAGGAACAAGCTCGTTGATGGCTGCTAGAGATGATGTGGTGGAAACCCCGAAAGCTGCGGACGAAGACAACAGGCCGGGAGGCTTCTTCTTCTGCTTTAGAAAGTGTTACTGATCCCTTTGAAGGCACAATTTTGATTTTCGAAGGGCATGATCGCCGAATTAATTTTTAGGGAAAGTTCAATAAGGTAAATTAGTCTCAATCTCTTAGATATTAGAAATAAAACAATCTTGGCAAAAAAAGTTAATTAATCAGATTCATTTAGTACAAAATCTGTTAACTTTACATTAATGAATAACAACTTTTGGTGGTAGGGGTTGCCTTTATGGTATTTTCTATGTTTGTTTCAAGTAATCATGTTTAAAAATCGTGAAAGAAAGCTGTTGCAGCGGAGCGAACCCGAGTCGCTCGCGTGACAGGCGGAAATACTTACAACTATACTACAACGACATCTTATATTAGCTAATCCAACCTTTTTTTTTTACAACCATAAACATAAAGATAATTTATGATGAAATTGAAGACCAAAAGCAGTCGAATAAGGGTCAAGTTCGTGGCCTCCGTGAAAAGCAGATAAAAAATCCATGCAAGTTACAATAAAAGCAAAGTGTAAGCAGGTGAACATTTTATAAAAGTGATGAGTGGAATAGTTGAGAAGCCACGAACCGTACTTGATGGAAGCATAATTATGGTCCTTTAGTGAAGACCAAATTTGATGCGAATAAAAAAAGGGTTGAAAGCAAAGCTACAAGAGATAAGTTACACTTGTCTTGTCCATATGGCAGTATGGCACATGATTACTTGGTCGGATCCATGCTTATTACAAAGAAACCCTACTGCCTATATGAAACCATATTCCTATGCTTTACAGCATATCAATATGAGAAATTCAACCACTTCTTCCACCGATTGAGAGAAAGAAGAATATAGGAGGAAGCCAAATGATGAACAGAAAAGAAAAAAAAACCGGGCAACTTAGTAGGGTTGGGTTGGGTTAGTAATGACATGCAGTCTTTGTGGGGTTCTAGGTGTCTGCAAGATAAATTTACTTAGAAATATGATTTTATGCTTCGTTTTGTATGTATGGAGCTGATACAAGAATTCTCATTGAGTTTATATATATATTACTGATAATATATTTTCATCCATAAAATTTTATAAATTCTTCTTCTAATCTAAAATACTACTCCGTCCATGGTGACTTGAACTCTTCAATCAAGTTAACAAGAAACGCAAAACTGTTGAAGATTCTGTCAGCACACAAGAATCATTTGCTAGTAGATAAGCAGTTGAAGATGCATCAAATATGAATTGACTTGAATACTCATCAATTACAACCTGTTCAACACACAAATATCAACAGAAAAAAAAAACAAATGTTACGGAATAGGAACACTAAGCCAGCATTTTAATCTGCTTTGAAGATCAATTATGTTTTAAGAAGATAAGTATAGTATATGATCCTTTGCAACTCAACATATACATCCAACATAGGCAGTGCGTGGATAGTCACAGACCGAAGGAGAGAGGGTGGAGCAATCACCGCTATATTTTAGATTTTCTTTTATGTATTTTTTATTGAAAATATGTTTTATCCTCGTCTTTGAATTTTATATATTCGTCCTCTCTACAGATTTTAGAAATTTCTTTTCCTAACATAAAATTTCACGTCCTAACGAAAAACTATAGCATGGGAAAGCCATCCAGCACTCTTTGGATTAGTTTTCTTAGATGGCACTGAGACAACCATATTAGCCTCGCATTGAAGAGAGTCGGAAGATTGATGGAAGGAAATAAGGTGGATGGGAGATTCATCAACCAAAGATTCAAATGTAATAGAACCTGTCATTCAATGTTGAAGGAACAAATGAAAAATTGAATTAGAAACAACAAAAAATGGAATGAAATAATGTGGCATGTCAAATATGAATACTTCGAGAAAGGTATAGAGTCGAATCAACGTACATACAAAACTATAGTAAGGAAAAAAAAAAACTCTACATGAAATTCAATGGTTTAATTGTTAAAATATCGGTGATATACAAATTTATTTAGGTTTTTAAATTTGGTGTATTAAAAAAATTAGTCCCTGATGTTTATTAAAATGATTATTTTGGTTCTTAATTTTTTGGAGTATTTTGACTCCAACATTTTATTTTAGGATAAAGTGGGCCTAACGTTTCACATAATAATCACTTTAACTCTTATTCTTTTCGAAAACATTATGATCCTCAACAATCATTTTAGATTAAAATAACCTCTATTTATTAGCTTTAACCGTTTGTTAACTGACAATTTTCATCTTTTATTTTTTGCCCTAACCTAAAACATTAGGGACCAAAATGTTTTAAAAAAATAGAGAAACAAAAGTAATTGTTTAATCAAACATTAGTGGTATTTTTTAAAAGTATCCTTTAAAATTTACTTTGTTTTACAATTGTATAATTAGAGGCAAAATAGGGAAAGATTGTGAATTCAAAAATTATTTGGGAAGATGTTATTCATGTATCAATTTGAATTAATAAATTAAATTTGAAAAAAAATATGAATATTAAATTAGATCTTGAATTTTTTAAATTTATAATTAAAATAAAAAATTAAATATCATATTATACTTTAAAATTAAATTCAAATATCAAAATACATTTTTACTTTAAAAATAAATATATCTTATATTTTGAATTTTGGGTCATAAAACTCGCTTTAAGGCCACTTTGATTTCACTTGAGCCCAAATATGTTAAAAGCGGCATTTTGGGTCTAACACGTGGCAAAGAAACAAAGGGAAAAAATACAGTTACTTACTCAACGTGTCAAAATTTGTACAAAAAAAAAAATCAAAATTATCCACCGATTTTTCATTTTTTAATTTTTTTTTAATATTTTTTAACTTTTTACTATACATTTCTATATTAAAAGGATTTTTTATTAGAATATAAATTTTTAATTCAAACTTTTTTTGAAAGGAAAAAAAAAGAGTAAATTTTTTATCATACGAAGGATTGAATGAAGTTAAAAGCCTGTGTGGAAGGAAGTAATCTGCCAAAACAAACAGCATTGTATTTCAGACGAAGATAGGAAATAATATTGAACGATGTCGTCGCAGGGCATTGCTTCAATCTTGGAAAACTCAAGGGAACTCGATCGGTTAAGGAAAGACCAAGAAGATGTGCTAGTTGAAATCAACAAGCTACACAAGAAGCTTCAAGCTAGTAATTTTCTCAACTTCCTTTTATCCCCTTTAGCTTCAAATCTTATGATCTGGGTATGTTCTCTGTTATCAAAATATGGTGTTTTTTTTAATGCTTTTAAGTTGTTTGGCTCTCTGGGTTTTTAGTTTTTTTTCTTATTAAAAACATACTTTTTTAGGTAGGTTTGGTTTTAAAAGAGGTTAAATTCCGTTGATGATGGATTTTATTGGATAAGGAAGTTATTTCTGTTATACATTATTATTGGTGATTGTTTTAATTTATGATTTTTTTGTTGGTTTATTGAAGAAAAAAAAGTAGAGTAATCTGATCAAATAGTAAAGGAATTTAGTTCCTATTTGTACTTTGACTTGGTTTAATACTTATTTGAATCTAAGTTGTGGTTTAAACTTGATAGTTGGCAAACGTTTTGAGGTAATTTTAGTGTGAAGTTTTTTCCTTTTTGATTGAAAAACATGCGATTTACCTGAAATTGTTGCTCATGGGACTTAATTTTCATGGAGAAAGAAATTGTTTGGTCCTCACTCATTAGATACCTGCAAATCCATTTTGAGAGTGGTTATTTTTGTATACATGTAGAATAATGTTCAATGCTTTATGTATAATTTACCTTATGATTGGTGAGCTTCAAAATATCCATTTAGTTGCTTTAGTTTGGATTTCATTATTTTCTTAACATAAACTTACTCCTGATATCAGTTCTTTTGGAAATGTTTTGATTGATTGAATTGAGGTTCGAGTTCATAAACTTACTCCTGATATCTATTTTTTTGTATTTAGTAGCAACAAGACAATAAATGAATTTTTTTTTGTCAATTCATTGGGGTTTAAGGAATTTCGAGATCCATATGGTCATTACCGTTTAAAAGTTATATCTGGAATCAACTATTTTCTTGATTTAAGAGTAGTTTTTCTTCCTTGTTTTGCTTTATTTCATGTTCTCTATTAACTATTACCAATTTTTATTGTTAATTTTGAACTTTCATATTCCTATGCAGCTCCTGAGGTTGTTGAGAAACCTGGTGATTCTTCATTATCGAGGCTAAAAAGTTTATATATTCAAGCTAGAGATCTTTCAGAGAGAGAAGTAGCGTATGTCCGTTATCTCTATTTTTCTACCATTTTCTTTGTACTTAGCAATGAGCTTTTTGTTTGGTTCGGCAGGCCTTTTTATGATTCTCATTTACCATATTTTGTTTATGAATACCTGTTGTTTTGGCTTTGGTACAGGATTTCCAGCTCATTAGTAGGTCAACTTGACACTTTTCTGCCATCTGGACCTCCAGGACAACAACGAAGAAAAATGGGTGTGTGCTACCTACCATGTCTGTTTGAGACATTTCAGTTTCTTCTAACCTCTCTGTTGAGTTCTCTCTTTGCATGACGATATTTAGGGATCTTAGCCCTAATGCTGAGGTTATGGTCCTCTCATAACCATCTTGGCAGTTGACTGAACTTATCCTTAAACTTGTGGAAGGGTTTGATTTAGTTATGTAGTAGTCAAAGAGGATGTTAATATATAGCTGTAGTTTTTTGCAGTTTGATTTTCTCCATCTTCTGTTTCTCTTTCCTTTCCCTGACCTGCAACTTTTGTTTAGTTCATTGAAATGCTGAATTCCGAGGCTTATTCCTATGGATTTCCTGTGTTTAAATTGAATGACTAAATTTGCATACTATATCATGATAGCTAAAACAAGATAAAAGACTCAACAACTAGTTGAAACTATGAAGTCTTTATGATCTTTCTGTTCTTTTGAATCTAGAAGGGTGAATATATAGCATGCGCCAAAGCAGAAAAGTCATTTTCATGTGTAGATTTCTGATAATAGAACTAGACCTAGCGTATCTGAACGGCCTATTTATGCATCTAACATTAAACAAATTGCAGATGGTGATCAAAAAAGGAAAAGAATGAAATCTGATTCAGATATCTCTCGCATTTCTCCTTCAATGCGGAGTCATATTGAGGCTTGTGTTAGTCTCAAAGATGAACAGGTAAGCTTGCAGACCGTAGTGGTCTGTGCAGCTCTGTCATAATCCATTCGATCGTTATTTTTTGTTCTTGGACCTAATATACTTTTCCTTCCCTCCTGTAATCAGGTAGCTGCAAGAGTCACCTCAGATGCTGAGAAGGACGAGTGGTTTGTTGTAAAAGTGATAAATTTTGATGAGAAAACAAAAGAGTACAGTTCATATAGGACATTTCATTTTGGCTCGTGCGAAGATCCCCTTCAGAATCTTCTTTTTTCCTGTTTCTAAGTTGAATCTTCATATTGCAGATTTGAAGTACTGGATGAGGAGCCAGGTGACGATGAAGACGGTGGTGTCCAAAGGTAAACTTTTTATACATTCCATATTATGTTCTTATTCATTACTTTTTGGCCCGGGGGACTCTACCTCATTTTATTTGTTTTGATGGTTGAGACTGATTTTCAAGATTTATATCAAGGGCTCAAATTCTCTTCCAGTCAAATTTTCGAATCAATGTTCGTCGGTAGCTTCTTTTTTTAAATTTTCATATAGCTGGCTGAAACTGTTTGTCCAGAAGATCTCAATTTTTGTTACTGAGATTTCAGGAAGTACAAGCTGCCTGCATCTTGCATTATACCATTCCCCAAGCAGAGCGATCCTTCTAGTACTCAAGAATTCCCTGCCGGGAGACATGTTTTGGCCGTTTATCCGGGAACAACTGCACTCTATAAAGCAACTGTCGTTAGTACACCTCGAAAGGTGACTATTTCGGTCACCACTGTTGTCATTCAGTACCCAATTTATACTTTCAGATCAATTCGTATTCTTTACGTTCTTTGTTCATTTGCTAAAACGATAAACTGGCAATTACTTTTTGTGCATATTCGTGGCGGGCTGTCTACCTTATTGTATCGTTTCAGAGGAAATCTGATGAGTAAGTAACATCCTCCATACCGATGAGTGAATCCCTGTATTCCTTTACCTGTTTGTGTTCTTCCTCATTTCGTTTATCTTCCCAATAAACAATCTAATTACTATTGTGTTACTGACATGCATGGCCGGTTTTTGTTCTCATGTAGGTACTTACTGGAATTTGATGACGACGAAGAAGACGGAGCTTTGCCGCATAGGATGGTACCATTTCACAAAGTGGTTCCATTGCCAGAAGGACATAGACAATGAGATGTGTGTATAAAAATGTGTATAATATTATTGAAGTAGGCGTCTTAAACATGTTACCGAACTCGTACTTTCATGTAGTGGATCAGTAATGAACGATTGAAAATTTGTATCCATTTCCGTTACTTAAAGGTCTTTCATGCTTCCTCATTAGTAGTTTTGGGTTGTCATTGCACTCGAACTCGAGCTTTCGACTCCATAAGTGATGCATTTTACTCGAGGGTTTAAACACGAAGATTCAAAAAATTGACATAAAATCCGGATAAGCTAAATATTTCTTTCTATTGACCCTCATTATTGTTAAAACTTCTCATGGTCTTATTGTATGACATACAAGAGCAATTTGCACGTAACAAACCTTCAATACATGAAAATGGTGCTCCAAATTGTTTTCTCCGCTAACGCAAATCAGCGATGGTTTTTCAATAATCAAAGGTCTTACTGCTTATGACATGCTTGAGTGATTGGAATTTCAGGGTCTGATAACGATCCGTTGAGCGTGCGATCTGCAACATATTGATTTGCGACCTGGGAGTAGTGAACTCCATCCCAGCTTACAAAGGCAGAAGGATTTTTGCACGAAGCACCAAATACTTCGGTTTTGTTGATGATTGCTTTGTTCCCGCACCATACATGATCATAGTTCACATGATATCCGCAGCAGGGCTTTAATGGATCCGCCGTTCCTATAAACCATTGCATAAACTAATAAACAAGAGGCATTCCAGCATATATTACATCGAAGATAGCCTTGCATTGTGTTTATGTCAGCTTAGATGCAATCAAATCCAAACCTTAATCATCTAACAAAGTAAAAGTTTGATTGTATAGCAATGGGAGATTACCTAGATTCTTAGCATTGGCAATCATTGAAATTTTAGCGGTATAGATGTCCACAAGCGTAATCGAAGCTTCAGGGAGCTCGGTTCGTAGCTTGATGATTCTGTCCTTAAGCTGCCTATTGAATTCCATAGCAATTTCATTTTGCTTCTTGACACAACCGTACTGATCAACATATCCAGGGTCAGGCTTAAGTATGTAGAAAAAGTTAACCGGCAAGCAACCGATCGGACCCGTGTTGTGTACCCAGAATGTCCTCCCTCCTTGCTTATACAAATGCTGGTTTTTAACATACAGATCAGTTTGATTTTGCATCTTGCCATAAAATTTCTAAGAATACTACTAGTTGAACATAAATGCATTTGCAGTTCTTACACCAAAATCTATGTCGCTTGAAAAAATGGATCGGATTCAGATGTTGAACACGGATACTTCAAGAACAATGAAAAACCGGAAACTATATAAACAGAAAGAATGGAAATTACTTGAACTGCTGATGCTAGATGGTTTATGATATCCGGCAATTCTGCACGCAATTGATCAAAACTCAAGTGCCTAAACCCAACAGAGAGATCATTTTGGCCGATGTCAAATGTGTAAAGCGCCTTTGCAAAGTCCTCAGGTCTAGGAAGTTTATCCTTTTCGTAAGGATATTTAGCTAAGGATTACCAAAAAGAAAAGGGTTAAAACAGTGTTAAAAAAACAAATTCGTAAATTTCGTATCAACATTCTATCAAACACAAAACTTGTAGATCTAACCTTGATTATACATTTCAGCAGCCCTTGCTTTGAACTGTTTAAATTGCACAACCTGCATATCTAAAGAAAATGGACTTATCCCATACTGATAAATGGTTTCATTTGGCCTTCTTACGGTTGATCCTCCGGTGGCGAAATTCGCCCCATGCCTGAAATTTGCTCCCAATGAATTCAAGTATGCATGAAGATATGGCAATTTAACCCTCTCAGCTGCCAAAGGTAAAGAACAAAAGAACAAGATTTAGATTTGGATATAAAATAAGCTCACCATGAACTGTTCTTTCTTTTTCTTTTATTTTTTTACCTATGAAGTCTATGATGAGGCGACCATCACAGTCTCTACCAGATGGCTTGTGAAAATAGGGCACGCCATAAGGAGCTTGGATTGGTTCAAAAGCAGCTGAAATCCCACCAGTGTCTGAGTTTGAGTCACCAAAGTTGTAAATTGCAGGGAATGCACATGATGGTAAGCTACCCCCATTTACACTCAACACATACCAGGACACTAAAACCCCAGTGATTAAAACACCCCAAAGCTCCATTTTTTCTCCTCTATCTCATTCTAGGAACTTCCCATTTTATATCTGAAAAAAGCTAATCTACCTTTTCACCACTTTGTCTGGGGTTAAAACTTGATGATAAAACGGATCATCGACCCCCAATAAATGGTATTCAGCCATGTGGCCTGCCAATGTGTCCACTGCTGCAGACCGGACAATCTTTTATTGTGCACATGTTTTGGACCATTTTGCCTTGAGAGCTGTACACCGTTCGATGGTCTTGTAGTCTTCTGTTACAAGTGAGATCATGTCTAGTTTATCTTAGAGACGAGCATTTTCTGTCGGTGTTGGCCAAAATTCAAAAGAGGTACCAACATGTAAAAGATGAAAGGCTCTATTTTCTAGGCCTCGGGGCTAGAAAATGGATTTGGTTGTGCTCTAACAGTGGGGTACATCATCCATGTGCATAACCTGGCAATTACTAGCTAAAGCCACAAATCAGTTGCAAATTTTACAACTATATACGCTTGTATTATGTTATTGCCTTAAAAATCTGTGGTTTTTTTGAAAAACGAAAGATTTGATGATCTTAATGGGAATATTCTTAAAAGTTGTCTTTAATTTACTCTGTCTTGGACTTCCAAGAGCTTCGTCTTTGACAATGCATTATTTAAGAGATTTTAAGTTCCAAAGTTTCCTTGACCTCGAGAAACAAATCATGGTGATTACGTGACTATTAGTCAATTTCTTTTCCTCGTAGTCACAAGGGAACTTTCCATAAATTTAACTTTTAAGGAGAAAATATGTTTTTTTCCTTTAAATTAACTGAAAATTTAAAGTTCAAAATTTAATTTAAGTTTCGTTTTTAAAATTTTAGTTTAATATAAAATAAAGATTATTTATTTGATTTCATTTGGATTTATATTAAACTCAATTATTTATACTTAAGTTTAAATTTAATTTTTCTAAATATTTACAACAAATAAAATATTTGAAACCCAAACAATTATTGAATTCCAGTGGCAATGAAATTTGGGCTTTAAAATGAAAATAGATTGAAGCAGGCTGAAAAAACAACATAACTGAAGACATTCGTTAGCTCATTTAATACTTCTACCCACTTTCATGATGGGTTTTGATTGGAATAGTAATTTGTCTTTCTTGGGACTAGTTGGTTGGTTTCTTATGATTCTGAGAAAGTAGAGATCATTCATTTTGGGATAAAAATGAGTAACCCATCAGCAGGAACCTCTTCCAAACCAAAAGTTGGGTCATCACAGCCTTCTGAAGCTTCTTTCAAGCGCAAAAGAGGAGTTTTTCAAAAAGATTGTAAACCAAAATTCATTCCTCCTTTATATCCCAATTCTCTTAATTTTCCTGCATGTTTTTCCCCTAATCATTTCCATTGTTTTTCTTACAGTGCAGCATATGTTGTATGGCTTTGGAGATGATGCCAATGTAAGTATTCCTCACAAATTTTGAATTGAGCTCTTTTCATTGCTTAATTTTCCCTTTTTTTCCATGTCATTTTTATGGATCATGATTGAGATGTGAATGAAAGTAAAACAGAAAAAGATTATATCTTCTGTAGGCTATATATATATAATGTTGGACTTGTATCTTTATCTTTTTTGCTTACTGTCTTAGTAGGCAGCTCAATGGATCCCTTAAACTTGGCCTACGTTGCTTGGATTCGGGGTGTGAGTTTCGGATATGGTCCAAAGTGAGTATTTGCTGTGCTTTCTATGTTTTTCCCTATATTTGGATGGGTACTTGAAGAAAAAAATAAGAGTCGAAGCAGCCTAGTAACGGATTTCATCCCAATGTTATAGCTATGAGTTTCAACATTCACTTGAAGGAAAGAGGTAGTGTATGTGCAAAATGTCGGTGACGAGTTCCGATATTGTTCGCTGGCGTTATTTATGGTTTCAGACCTTTTGCTAGACTAAATTCTATAAATTCCTTCCCATGCTTTCGCCTATTATGATTTTGGTTTTGGTCTTGGTCAATTCAATGATGCAGTCTTGGAGTATAATGTCTCTAAGGTTGATTTTGATTGCTAATGTTTCTGTACCACTATCAATGGAGCTTAAGTACTAAAACATGTAAGTTCTGAAGATAAACCCCAATACATACAAACAAATCGTGAAACATCATCTTATGGATGCTTCATTGGGAGAAAGGTTCATAAAATTCCCCACTTTTATGCACTGCAGCAATGGAGACTTGCATTGTTCGTGCATGGTCTTCCGGATCCAATCATAACTTTGAACTCCATTTGTTGCATTTTCAGCCATTTCCCGAGACTGTAACCCTTGTGGAAGACATTGTCGTGGAATATGTGACAGATCTGGTAAGTCTCTGTAGTTTGGGCGATCTATATCCTTGGTTAAAGGAGATGCCATCATCTATAATATGTTCCTATCTTCGTCGTCTGTAGACACATAAAGCACAAGATATTGGATCGAAGAGAGGAAAGCTATCTGTTGAAGATTTTCTGTATCTGATTCGCAAGGTAATCTCAATCATATTTTGATGTGCCGATAAATTTGTTTTAACAAATATGTAAGGGATGATGATCTAAGCATGTTTCTGGCAGTGGTGGTTTGTCCTTTGATGTTTATCGTATGCTTCTAAGAGTAATGTTGATAGCCGGTTTGATTCTGCAGGACACACCAAAACTAAATCGTTGTACGGAATTGCTGTCAATGCAAGAGGAATTGAAGCAGGCTAGGAAGGCATTTGAGGTCGATGAAGAGAAGTTGGCAACATTAGAGTAGCCCATTGGTCTTTTATTTGTATAGGTCAAGACTAGTGCATTAAACATTGCAAACAAATGATTCTAATGATTTTTCATAAGATAAAAGAGTAGACCTGTCAATGGGTCGGGTCATGGTCTGAACTTTTTATTTTATTTTTTTTCTTATCTATGTTTTTTCACCACCCTATAATCATGTACTTGAAAATGTGTTGGAGCTTGGAACTAGGATACCATCTCTTTGAAAGCATCCAAGCAACATAGAATAAATTACCTTGTTTTTTTTTGTTGCATATCTGAGGAGCTTCATTAAATAAATGCCTTGTGACAGGTTTTTACCAATGAAAATTGTTTACAAATATAAAACAGTAAAACTATTATCAGTTTAGGTACTTCAACAATAGCATCATCCCTTTTTGAGTGTAAGAAAATAATAATCACCTCCAAAGCTCTTCTTTTCAAGGGCTGTGGCTATTTGCAGAAACTAGCAGGCAGTATGTTTTAATATAGCTCCCATCCACATCCCACAAGACGACAATTCTTCTTCGTCTTTGGTCTTCTAATCCTATTCCAAATTTCATGGAAAACAAAAATCTTCTTCTCCAATGGCAATCTTTCTTCCTCTTACATCAATGGCTACAACTTCCCAGTTTGCAACTAAAGAAAAGGAGAAGCATAAATCAGTTTTAGAGAAACAGACTAAGCTTGATAGCTTTTACTTAACAGTACAAGTAACATTCAACACGAGTAGGCTAACTAGGATGTAAGTGTTGGATACGAGAATGTGTCCTTGTATATGTTCAACTTTTTCTAAGTTTCTCTATATATTTTCGTTGGGTCTATATCGTCACATATCCATTTTCAAATATCCCAATATGATGAAGGGATAAAAGTACATAGGAACCAACAGAAATCAAGAGGAAATATTACGTTAAGAAAATACCTGAGGAAAAAAATGTAAATTCAAATTGCCATAAAACCATCATCACTCCACAACTTCTTTCGTGCAATTAACACTCTTTCCTCACCAACATAGAGAGCATCGGTTCCTGGTTCAACAACGGATAGCCAGCCATTCCACCTCAATGAAGGAATAAATTTCCGGATATGATCTATTACTGACTTTTTATCCCTTATAATGACGAACCCATCTGGCCTCAATATCCTATCCATTTCAATCAAGAGATCCTCTGCGCTACACCTCAGAAAAGACTGCCCAGGCATGAAGAAGATCATATGTTATTGGGTATGTAGAAAAAGCTTCGCACCTACAAAGGCAAAAGTCAAAGCATGGTGCATAGTTAGGCTGGGAAAGATGACTGGACAATGTGATTATCAGAATAACGATATATGACAGAAAGAGGAAGAAAATGGAATTACAAACGTATAAGTCAATTACAAGTTTACACATACCAATCATGAACAGTTCCAATCAAGCCTCGGTCATAAATAATTTTCAACCCTGCAGACATTTTGACGGGATCAACATTCATTACCCAGACATCTTTATCTTTAAGGGCAGCAGCAAAACCCCCAAGATTGGAGTTCATATCCATGATATTTCTGAAGGAATTCTTCTCTACAACAGATTTCATCTGCTTCCAGTATCCGATCACTCTAGAACGCCATATTCTCTGTACCATAAGGGTATCTCAGTCATCAAAATCCAAGGCTATATAGAGGATAGTAACAATCAAATCATGATGAAGAAAAGAAGAGACAACTACAGAACTTGAAATTCTTTTATCTTAGAAACTTACAGTATCTTCATGGAATTCCTCAGCACTAACACCGATTTCTTCAAGGCGGGGTGGTGGTGCAGTAAGCCTTTGTGGCCAGGGAAGTAGTCCACTCCATCTTTCTTTGTGCATCTCCGTAGCATCAAGCAAGAGTTTTCACACTTAATAGTTCCAATTATATTTCTAATTTTTAGGACCGTAAACCACTATCATGTTGTTATTATCATAATATGTGATCATATATGAAGATAAACAATATGAAATGTCCATCGACCAGTAAAAAGAATTAGAATGAGAGAACATTCCACAACTATCAACTATCAATGCCATAGAAAGCATGGCAGTTCTACTTACTTGCAGAGTATGGAGTAATGCATGCCTTCATAGACACATTCCAACTAGCATCTGGGTCATCTCCAGAATTGCACAAAGGAGGCCGAGTCCTAGGATCTCTTTTCAAATAACAATTGTTGCTCAGAGGCTTAGACCATATAACAGTTTGGCCTCGTTTTGCAGCAACTTTCCAGCACATTTTTTTCAAAAGGCCGTACATTGCATTCCAGATCTTTCTATTTTCTGGGTCTTGTTCATAGGCTTCAGGAGAAGAATATGCAAAGTACCCTCCGGGTCTCAACAATCTATCAAGTTCCAATAGGAGAATACCATCTCTCTGAAGCCAGTCTATACGGCAACGAGAACAATGAGCTAGCTCAAATGATCTGCTTGGATAAGGAAGCCTTTTTGTTCCCAGCACACCAAGTGTTGAAGGGATACCCCTTTCTAAGGCAAATTGTATTTGATTCTCATGTACATCATTAGGTGCAAGGGACATGGCTATGATATCAAGCGGTAGGAGATAGGCTCCAAAACTTGCAACTCCACATCCCACATCAAGAACATTTCGTATATGTCCGCCGTTGTGCAGTTTATCACCAGGAAATTTCAGCATCTGCACACATATAATAATTCAACATCAAGCTATAAAAGAGTACATAAACTTTTAGAAAGCTAAAATTTCAAGATCAGTCAACATAAGAATCATTAATCCAATAAGCCAGCAGGCTATACCTGAGCAAGACCAACAATATACTTATCAGCACCATCATGAAAATGTGTTCCACCACCGGGAAACTTTATTTTCTCCCCATCAACAATCATCCAATGCTGATCTGATTTCTCCTCCGCGAGATGTGTATGGGGAATATTTGCTTTCCACACTTCATCTCCACTAGAAGGCCATCTTCTAGGGATCTGAAATTCTAATATCAATTACATTGGTATCGGAACTGACTAAATTACATCAATCCAAACTCCTAGAATAAGCAGAAAAACCATCACTAACCTTGTAACACTTCGGTGGCGGAATCAAGCAATTGTATCTCAGGTGGCGGACAATGCCGCTCATTGTGTTCCAATACAGACAAATTAGGCTTTAATTTCAGCTGGTATATAAGGTTTCTATCTAAGCAGGGTATCAGCTCAGAATATTTTATGTCACGTATCTGTAAACTTATAAATACAATCATTTAGCCAGATTAATAAAAAAAATCCATAAGAAGCACCAAGTCATTTGTCATATGAAAAAACACATGAAAAAATAAAAGAAAAAAATCTTAAAGAAATAGAAAGCTAGTAAAAATGCAGTACTCACAGGAATGCTTTTAGGAGCTTCCGGGTAGTACCTTTGCTCGTCAAGCAAATCAACCAAATCCCGATGCCTTGAGAACCGACCGAAAACCGGGTCGGATCCATCCAATAAGGAACCGTTATCATCAGATTTCCTCGACCCAGGAGCAAATGAAGATCCATAGTACAAACAAACCAGCCCCAGAAGAGCGATTAAGCCGATTAAAATATATGTCAATAGTTTCGTAGTGTGAACTTTATCGTTCTTTTGGTTCATCTCGTGAACCGAAAAATCCCAAATTCGACACGATCCAAATCAAAAACCCTAGAATTTCTTCTTCTCTTTGGTTGAGTGTTGAAATGAGAGTGAGAGTGAGAGTGAGAGTGAGAGTGATAAGGAACAGTTGTCTCCCCAGATCTAGCTGAACTAATTTTTCGCGGGATCGAATTAGCGAGGATCCGGTGATGTTTTCCATTTTACGGATGGTTATTTGAGGTCAAGTTGATTCCTTAGAGAAATATAAAACCAATAATTTGATTGCACGTGGCAATACGTACAAGGTCAGGTTTTTATTAGAAACGAAGAAGGCATGATTCTTGGTTCTTGTTACATGATGAATCATCATGTTACCTATGCCCCCCCGGGGGAAACATATGCTATCTTGCAGGAACTTCAATTCGCACTGGATATCGATTTTAGACGGGTAACAATTGAAAGCGATGCTAACTCGATCATTATGAAGCTCAACAATGGAGAAACTGACCATTCGACTGTAGGTCCATTCATCCGCGACACAAAGCAACTGGCTAGACTATTTCTATCTTGCAAATTCAGCTTCATTTGGCGAAATGGGAATAAAGCCGCACATGCAATGATAGCGGAGGATCTCTCCATTCTCCAACGCTCTTGATCGTTTCTGGACTGAAGAAGCACGGACCAAAGCTCTTCAAATTGTAAATGAAGACAGATGATTAAGTGACCCTCCTTGAACTTTCCAAAGCTGCTGTTTTGAGGGGATTCTTCAAATTTTTGCAATGGCAACCTCCTCCTCTCCCTTCGGTCTCCGTTCCTTGCTGTCTTTCCCTTCTTGATCCAAGTTTGTGTTAACTGATCTCTTGTCAAGGTCGATGACCCTCTTTTGCTTTCTCATTTGTTTTTTAAGATCTCTGTGTTTCTATAGTTTCTGTGTGGACATGAGTGGTCATTTACTTTTGTGGGCCACGTTCTCATTTGTTTTAATTTATTTTTAACAGTCAATGCATTTAATAAAAAAAAGTAAGCCACGTCATAAAACTGTTATGAATATAGAGTGATGAAAAAAATTAATATATAAAATTCAGTAATTAAATTAAAAAAATAAAAGTACATTGAATAAAATAAGAAATAGTGTAAAATTCATTGAGGAATAATGTAATTTACCCTTTAAAATGTAATATAGTAATTATATAAGTAAATTAATCGTTTACCTACTGAATTTTATTATATTTCTTATTTCACTCACTGTATATTCAAATTTTTTAATTTACTCATTCAACTTTATATATTAAATTTTTTAGTCACTCCACTTCCCTAACTTTGTAATGATGTGTCTTTTATTTTTTATTTTTTAACCATTAATATTTTTTAATATGATTTATATATATATTTATTATCCCTTTATTTGCAATTCCTCCTCCTCTTCCTTTTCCTTCCTTTTCCTT